CACCAAGTCCTCCGGGGGTCCTCAGAGCCCAGGCCCAGCCTAGTGCGGTGGGGCCCTGCAGGGTTCCACTGAGAGGATTCTCAGGGCTCCCAAAGACCCCGGAGAGACACGTGGGGCCTTCCCCGGGAAGCCTCCTGTCGCTGTCCAGGGCAGACAGGCTGGGGCCTCAGGGACAGGGACGGTGTGCTCACCACCCAGCTCCCTGCACAGGGCCTGGGGGCGGGAAAGAGTTGAACATTAACCTCTTTGATGAGTGGCTCAGAGCTAAACAAATACCAGCTATCGGAGCTATTGCCTGTCAACAGCAGCTGCCTGGCTGGCCAGGCCCTGGCTCAGCGCACAGAGCAGCCCCACCGCCCCGCCTGCCCCTGCCTGCAGGGGGCTCACGCTGCCAGGATGCCTGGGCTCAAGTCCCACCCACCTCTGTCCCCTGCCATCTGGGTGACCCCAGGCAAGGCACTGTTCCTTGCTGGGGCCAGTTTTGCCAGTTTTCCTCTCCATACCATGAGAGGCCTGGTCCTCTCTCCTCTGGCCTCCTGGGATGGCTGGGTCACTGTCGTTGGGGAAGGGGCCCAAGAGGCTTGGGAGGCCCGGCTGGTGCTGGGCCTGACTGGGTGAAGCCAGAGAACAACACAGTCTTTGCAATTAGAGTCCAGGAAATGAAAGCGATGAATAGCGACCGGCCACTCACTGGGTGCCAGATGCTACCCGGGCATCGTTCCGCTGCTTTATTTCATCCTCAGTACGGTAGATGAGGCCAAGGCTCCTCACCTACATCTGCCCAAGCACGTCCCAGGCTTGCCTGCTATTTGAGTATCTGCTATTAGTGAGGGGAAGGCTGCGTTGGAACCACGTGTGGCCCCTGTGCGTTTTGAGTGTTCAGCACATACTGGGTCCTTAAGTAGGAACGGCTGTCAAGGGAGCAGATGAATCAAGAAAGACCCCTGTGGGCGGCAGAGGAACAGGGTTGGAGCAGCGTCCTCTCGCGGCAGAGGAGGCATCGGCCGGAGGAGGAATGAGCTGGAATCATTTCGTGTCCACGTCGACGGTGGAGGCCTGCTTCAGCTGCCCGGCGTTTTGAAGCTGGGATGGAGGAGGTTGTGATTGGAGCTGTCTGAGTAGGTGTCAGCTGAGAGGGCAGAGGGCCAAAGCAGAGGTCAGAGGCCCAGGGGGGCCGGGCACCACGCACAGACTGTTGAGGGGCACGGCTGGTGCCACCCGACGCTAACAGCTGACACGGCGCCAGGCTCTAGGAGAAGGCACAGCTAAAACTCTCACTTCATCCTCAACAGTCCCAGCGTTAAGTGCTGGTGGGAGCCCGTTTCACAGGTGAGAGCACCGAGAGCATGGAGAGGCGGCGAGCAGTCCGGGCTCACAGCCAGGAAAGGCCAAGATCAAGGCCGTGCTTGAACCCTGGCCACAGCTTCCGCCAGCTCCCGGCAGCCCAGGGCAGGGGTCGGGCCAGGAGCCCTCTGCTGGGCGTGCCAGGCCGAGGGCCTTTCCTGGGTCAGCTCTGGCCCACGTGGAAGCTGACAAGGCTCAGCTCTTCCCTCACCCTCTTCTTACCCACCCCTACGAGGAGGAAAAATGTCATTTGACTGGAAAGAGGAGGAAATAAACGTTGTTTGGTTTAGAAAAGGGCAACCCTGAGAAGGGACACCTGCAACCTGCCCCAGGCGGGATTCGGGGATGGGGGGTGGGGGTGGGGGTGGGAGTTACCACGAGCCCGTTCCTGGTCCCGGCAGTGCGGATGTCCCGGGAATCACACCCATGCTGACAGTGGGAAGTGTGCCTGGCTTCACACTTCACAGGTGTGTTTCTCAAGTGTAACAAATCAACTTCTTGTGACTCCAACCCTGCTTCCCATTTGTATCAGTACAGCTTCCAAAATCAGACCCACAGCGGAGCCAAAGGTGGCCATAGACGCATTTCAGGGGTAACACAAAACATCCCCAGTGAGATTTGGTCCCTCCCTTGAGCTTGAATTATATTTTGTAAAAAGGTCACTGTTAAAATAGCAGCGTCTGACAGGAAACCTTGGACTTTTGTTGCCTCGAGGCATCCTCCTGTTTGACTTACTTTTTCAGATAAGGATGCGTCCACACCCCTGCGTTTACAGTATTTGACCGATGGGGGTGCACAGTAACCTTTGGACACAGTTCCCTGGCCCCGCATAGCTGCATGCCAATGAGGGTAAAAAGCAGTGATTGCTATGTGTCACCCAAGGAAACAGAGACTTCCAGAATCACCTGGTGAAGGTGAGGCCTGGTGACTCGTGACTTGTGACTCGGGCTGGCCAGTGACCCTGAGCTCTGTGGCCCTGGAGGGCAGGGCCTTGGAGCTGGATCAAGGGGGTTGATGAGGTTGACATTGGTCTCTGCCTCTCATCCCAAGCTGCGTGGCCTCAGGCTGACTCGCTTACTCATAGGGAGTTACGGAGCTTTTGCTTTTACTCATCTTCCCCGGGGCGGGTGGCTTCTCTGAAGAAAGGTGTCCCCACCCCGAGTCCCCAGGAGGGCGCCTCCGTGTGTGGTGAACAGGCTGTTTCCGCCTGCTGAGGCCTGGTTGCCGGTCCCCAGGATGCACAAGGAAGTCTCTGTGTCTGCTGTCACCGTGGGTGCCCTCGGCTCTGTCCAATGTCTTGGTCTCTCCGAATCAGGGCACCCTCCCCCAGATCTTCCCAGGACCTCCTTTACAAACTTCCAAGAGCCCACCTCTGACCTCAACCTCCTGTCCCCATGGCTTGCTGACCACAGGAGCGCCCCAGGCCTCATGCCTCGCTTCCCGGCCCACTCAGGCAGCAGACTCGACTCCCCCCCACCCCCGCCCCCAGGCGCTCTGGGGCTCTCCGTCCCAGCCCCTCCTGCCCACCTGAACCTGCGCTGCCTCCTGCAGCCCCACGCTCTGCCAGCGCCTCCCCTGTGCGGAGGAGAGCCCCTCAGCCGGGCCCGGTGGGTGGCTGGCGGCAACCAGGTGAAGATTGGTGCCGTGAATTACGCTAGCTTTCTAAGCAGCTTGTTTTCCTTTTCTCAGTTTCAAACCTTCCTGCTCCTCCTCACTCTCGGATGACCCGTCTCCTATATCCTCCCCCTGGGACTGCCTGCCTCAGCTCCCCAGGTGTCCCTTCTTGGTGACAACGGAGCAGAAGCTGGAGCCTCCGAAGACCACCCCTCCTCCCCCAGACTCTGAATGACGCCTTCAGGTCCCTTCCTGGAACTCATCCCCCTTGGAAGCTTCTGCTCCCGACAGACCTGCCTGCCGTCCTCCATGAATGAAAGGGACCCCCTCCTTCAGTCTGCCTGCCCTCCGCTGGCTGTCGTCCTTGGCTCCCTCACAGCAACCCCCCTTCCCACTCTCAGCTGCTTTGGCTCCTGCAGACGGTGCAGCCCAAGGCTGCGCGCCTTCTTGGGGTCAGGAGGACCAATGGCCTGTTGGTGCCTGTGTCGGCAGGGCCTGCCAGTCCTCTGTCCTAGGCTATTTCATGAGTTCCCACGGCTTTAATCACACCCCACAAGGAAAACTCTCAAATCTTGCCCGCCCCACCCCCAGCCACTCACACATTGTGTTCAACACAGACCACAGCAACGCAACGGACTCGCCCAGCTCCCGCTGCTCTGGATGCTGCCGGCTCAGGCCTCGGACTGGGGTCCCCCCTGCACCTTCCCTGCCAGCCCCCTGGTGGGCCTGAGCAGACCCAGCAAGCTCTGCCTCCCCAAACTGGAGTGGACTCAGCAGGGTGGGCCACACCGCAAAGACAGAAGTCACTGTCTCCCGCAACTTAGCGGGAAAACATAAACCTGACAAAGCATAGTCTTAAAAAAAAAAAAAAATAACCAAAGCCATCTCTCTGAGACTGCAGTCCATCTTCTGTCCCCTGGGGAGGCAGCTTTCTGACTGTGCCCGTGAACATAGTTTAACGTCCGAGCCGCAGGACGAGGGCCGAGGCAGCCCGGGTGCGTGGCCCCTTCCCAACCCTGCCCACCCTCATACCTCCTGCTTCCTAAAGAACCAAAACCCGCTTTTCCTCCGGGCCCCTGAGCAAAGACAAAGCGTGCACTCCAGTGACATTCGGCAGCGAGAAGGCTGGAGACCTTCCGACCCCCAACCCTCGCAGGCTAGGGTCACACCTACCATAACCCTGGGGCTACAGAAGTGGCCCTGCGGCCAGCGGCTAGCTGCACGGCGCTCTGAGCGCCACGGGCACTGCCGCAGACACGATGGCACGCCATGAGAGCCCTGGCATCTAAGAAACAGAAATCACGCAGAGACTGCGGGTAGCACGGGACAGTGAGCTCCTGCTGGTTATTGGCAAGTAGTAGAGAGAAAACCCAAGACTCCGAGCAAGAGGCCTGAGTAACTGTTTAACAGGCATGCCACTGGTTAGCCTTTTTCTCACTCTGGGAAGCCAAGGTGGGTGGCTTTCTGAGAGTCAGGAAGCCAGCGCTCACGCTGCAGCTGAACTGGCCCCCCACACGGGGTGCCAATCTGACTTCCAGGTGCTACAAAGCCTGGGGATTGGCAGCTTGCCCAGGGTCACTCAGACGTTGCAGTGCCGGGCAAACTCAGGTTTCCTGACTCCTCAGCCAGCCACCTCGGCACATGCCCGCTTTCAGCGAGGGCTAGGCTACAGTGACTGGGAGGGGGAAGGGCCCACACCAGCTCTGCCTGATTCAGTGAGAAAAACACCAAGTCAAGCCATCAGGAACCATTACTAATTGGGTTGCAAAAGCCTTCATGGGCCCAAGGGCTAGAGAGCCAGTGTCCTTTAAAAGCGGCCTCTGGAAGAGAGAGGAAGGGGTGCTTATCCCCTTTTCTTTTGAACTGACTGATAGAAAGGGATCTAAACCAGAGGCAGAGGCCAGGGATCCAAGAACACGATACTCACAAAAGACTGAAAAGCTTCGGAAACGTTGATTTTACAAATTCTACTTTAAATGAAAACCTTGTGGGAGAAAATTGCTTTGACCTTTTCTTCTCAGATACAGTGAACACCGGCCAAATTGTTTTAATTTCCGAATTTATTAAAATGATTAACCTCAATACTGCAAGTGCATGTACAAAATATTTGTAAAAAATGTTTTTAATGAAACGTTAAAGAACTTACCTCAAATGCTGAAAAAGTCCTTTTTTTTCCCATTCTTTCAGTACAAGGAATACATTGTATCTCAAAAGTATTACAACTCAGCAAAACAATTTAAAACAGTAGTTTGAAAAATGATTGAAAATTGAAAACTTTACATATGTTGCTATGATCATTTCCTAATTCTTACAATGCCAAAGTCTTTCCCAATCATTGCATAAGCTCAAGGTAGGAGTTTTATTGAATGAAAGTTTCATCGACCTCTTCTGGGCAGTCACCGCAAGTGGATCTCGCAGCCCCACCCCACATGGCAGAGCAGAGAGGGCCCTGAGGCCCCTCCGTGGAACAGCGGAAGCCGGTCCCCCAGCAAGGCGCCCGCAGCGGCTGCCCAGCCCTCCTGCACGCCAGCTCCTGAGGCAGCGACTGCTGGCGTCACCGCGTCACCATGCAGACCCACAGGAAGGTCGGCCTTAAAGGACAAGGCCGCAATAAAGTTAAAACTAACATCAATAAGTTACTAAAACAAAGCTTAACAAAGGGTGAAAAGTGAGAAATAGGATGATTTTATTATTTTTTCCTTAAGACTGAAATGCCTGCAATGGCTGTTGGTATTCCAAGAAACAATGCAAGATATGGCCTCTGACCCTCCACAAAACACTCCAATCTAAGGTGGGGATGAAAGAGGTGACCCTCTGCGTGGCCTTCCTCAGCGGCGCGAGTCTCTCACATTTCTACGCAGGGGCACGGTGAGGACGGGACACGGTCTGTAAAGTGCTCCCTGCGGGGCTGCCCTGCTTCCCGAGGTGAGGAACTCTGGATGGAGCAAAGCTGTGCGCCACATGCTGTCACGTGGAGACCTGAGGGGTTCGACTGCCCTGTAACTCACAAGGATGGGACGATACAAGACTACAGAAGTGATTCCTTGAAGAACATGAGGATGAAAAAGAACCTCTCAATTTAAACAACTTTTATGAACGTTATTAATTTCTACTTGGAACGTACTGGCAATAGTGTTAAGGAACTTAAATTTCCCAGATTCTGGAAACTGGTAGGAATCAGTCAGAAACAACAGCAAGCGTGGATGTCTTCTCCACGGGACTTCTCATTACCTGCTGATTCCTTCGAACATTTTAAAACCTGGGCTACCTTGCCAGACATGACACGGACGCCCTAACTTGGGTTTTACTTAGGAACACTGTGTATCAGAAAGTACACACACACACTTCCCAGAAACAGACCAGCTGGCGTCAAACACCTGTCATGGGTTCAATCCCCAGATTCTTTGTCCAATGATTTGTAAAATACAGAAAAATGAAAGACTGGTACTGAACAGAAAGTAGTAAAATTTTGCTCATTAAGTTACTTAAAATTAATTTCTCTTCTCAAAGTGCTTCAAAAACAAATTAAATCTGACTCTTCTTTTTGTTTAACTGATAATATAGTCAAAAACTCTTTGATATTTTCATACATAAACTAACATAAGCCAAGAACTCCCACTGATGCAGTGCTTAAAACTATATATTTATAATTTCCTATTTTATTGGCATGGATATTTCTAAACTTAAAAACCTTCCTGGTAAGTTCTTTTAATTTCTTATGACAAAAATTTCTCACAACACACAAATATTTACAACATATACATTGTTTTCAGTTCTTTACATTGAATTTCAAAGACAAACATTTTTATAGGTTACCACAGAACAAAAGCTGTGACTCATGTTTTTATTTCATAAACTATTATAAGTTAAAGTGAATAGTTTTTTAATATTCCTTGTAGCATTTTACAAGTGCAACAGAAAACTTGAAGACCCAAATTAAGATAGCTGTAGTTCATTAGATAAATGTTGCTTGTTGTCATCACATTGTTCACAGCAAATTTTTGAAAAAATAAGCACCAATCATTCTTGCAAAGAACAATTTTATCTAAAAGTATTGAAAAGTGTTAAATACAAGGTCTTTAACTTACATGACAAGCAATAAATACGCCTCATCAAAACTCATCCTGCACACTGCTACCCTCGTACATGTAATGTACTGAAAAGTTGGCTGTCACACATGGAATTGTACTTTTTTTTTAAAGAAACCAATTTGACTTCCAACCAAGGCCACACACAGTACACCTGGGCCAGCAAACAGTGTGGAACTGACAAAACTCCAAGGGGGCAACATCTAGCGAATAAATCAAAAAGCCAAAGATCATTGCTGGTGATATTAGCATATACTAGAAAACCTTAATATGCTGCTACTATGATTTGTTTTAAATTATTGTTTAGTCATATATTAAAGAGCTAGTTAATGCTCTTAAAGTTAAAAAAAAAAAAATCGTGTAGCCACATTATTGTTTCCAATGTCCTGTGTGGAAAGTTGCTATCACTGTACAGTTTTGCTTGAGCCTTTATTTTACAACAGGGCTTAACCTCTAACTCAGGATTGCACATAAGAAGGCTATTTAAAAAGTACAATAAAAATGTGCACAAATCAGACTTCAGAAGAGTCAGTACGCTGTACACTTTTCTAGGTATTATGCTGATAAGTGAAGAAACGAGAGAAGTGCTGCCGCTAAAATGTTTCAGTTGAGGAGTAACTGACTGGAATTTATTTCTTTAAAGTAGTTATCCCAGGTCAAATTAAGACCCAGAGCTTATGCATTAAGCCTCAAAGACTGATCTTCTCTTCTCCGGGAAGAAATGTCAATATCTATAGAGTCTTTCCCAACTATTAGCCTTAATCGCTTGGCTGGTGGAAGGGGAATAAAGTCATCCTCAAAGTCATCCTCATAGTCGTCCTCTTCTTCGTCTCCCTCTGAGGAGGAGGAACCGTCTGTACTTTCCTCTTCATACTGACTGTAGTCGTCGACTTCCATGCGCGACTCCAGGAGAGAGAGAGGGTCGCTACAGCACACCCCATTTTCATGAAGCCCCTCTGTACATGACCCCCGACTCTCCTCATCCCGCTTTAGCTGGATTTTTAATTTTGTAGAACTACTACCTGATCCTGAGTTAAATCCATTATTAAGCTTTGCTACATAGAGATTATTATCATTTTCATGGTCTTTACTTAACTTGATGCTTATTTTGGAAGAATTCATCCCATCGTTCTCCGGATCATTTGTCTTGCTGCTGCTATCGTGGCGCCTTCGAAGAGTCAATTTGGGGATCCCAGAGTTATTTTCCAGGATTAACTGTGCATCATACCTTGTGATCCGCCTCTTCTTTTTACTTTTTGCAGTTCTGAAGCCATCTTTTGTTTTGAAGCTATCTGATGTCACCACCGAACCATCCAGAGGCGAAGGGGCCCAGTCCAAGTAACTTCCAGGCACACCCTCGGTGCTGCTGTGCTGGCCCTGGTCGGGGAGGGACCCCGCCCCATCAGGTACCACGCTGGCTTTTCCAGGAGGATCACGCACCGGAGGGGATTCCTCTACTTTTGCCAACTGCTTCACTAGTTTTCCTTGTCGTGACTTCTTTTTTGCAAGACTGTTCTCGCTCTTAGGACACTTTGCTTCCCCCTTTTGTGCAGTGTCATGAGCAAGTTCTTCTTCCTGTGCCACAGGAGTTGGCTGCTCGCCACTGTCTGGGCAAGACTCAGTCAAACCGTTTTCATAGCCATCTGACGTATTTGGTTCCAGCTTGATGTCAGAGGTCTCCTTAAAGTTCATTCTCGTCCTCATGGACCGCCTGGTTGTGTACGTGCTGGGAGCTCCCTCCCCGGGCGGAGGGGCCCCTCGCCCAGAGTTCTGTTTGTGCTCTCTTGCTGCGTGTCTAGTTAAGCACCCACTAGCCACTGTGGCTTGTACTGGTCCCTCTGGCTCCTTATCTTTCTTAATGGGCAAATTTTTATATAGAACAACTTTAGGCTCTTTAAGGACTAAGTTTCCCATCTCGAGTTTTCTCGAAGCACTCTTCTGCTCCAGCCGTTTGCAATGGTTTCTTAATTTTACCTTCGAAAGTAAAGGCTTTGCAGGCTTTTTCAGTTTCTTTGGTACCCTGGAATTATTTATGTGAGTTAGCTTAGATGAGGTAGAATTGGAAGAAGCTGGAATTCTTGACATAGACTGCCTTGTTAATGTTCTGCTCTTGCTGGTCTTTTTCATGCCAACTGAAGATTTTCGGCTAGAAGCTGCAGAGTTAAAAAAAAAAAAAAAAAAAAAGGATGAAAAACAGCCTTGGTAACACAAAACAATGCCCCAAACCAGACTCTCAGTGATGGAGTATTTAGATGATACAAACATATAGAAGACAGACCCCAGTTCAGTTACTGCCTGTGCATAACCATCCCCCGACTAGTTTCCTTCCAAGTTCTGCCTCTAATTTACGGGGCGTCTGTCCACTTTTGAATTTGGTATTTAAAGAACTCTTAATACAAGTAACTAGATTCCACTCTATTCTTGTCCTTAACCTATCATTACCCTGGTCCAAAATAACTATTTCTTTTCCTAATTTATTATTTTACCACGTAAAAGATTTGAAGTAAAGCTAAGGAAAAATCATAGTTTTTTTCCTTTCATAAATTCTTAGAATAATCACTTAAAATAGGTTTCTAAAACCCAGTTACTAATTAACTCAAAGTATGTTATTTGACTATTAATATAGGACAGAAATACACTGCAAATGCGTTCAAAGAGATAAATTCTATTCCAATGGTTTCGAACAAGAACAGATCCTAAGAACCACACATTGTATCCCCAAAAGATAATCACCCCAAAGGATGGCACTAAGTTGTTCCCTTCAGCACTGGGAGGACAGCAGGGCTTCCTTGGCCCCGTCCCTGCTGTGACTGCCTGTGGCCTGCAATCAGGCTGAGAGGAAAGCAGCATGCTGTCAGAATTACACTCAGGACCAGGGGCCTCCGACTTACTTCCCCTGGACAAGGATGCACAAAGGTTGTGATGATCCTACTGAAAACTACCACCTGAGAACTAAGGTGACAGCTGAAGGGCTTTACACAAGGCTTCTGTGTGGCTCAAGTTCAAGCTGCTCCCAAGGTGAGCCTCTGGCCTTCTGCAATGTTTGTTTCTCTCCATTTACATTTGGACCTCCATGTACCATGCTTTTACAAAGATGAGCTTCTAAATTAGCTTCCCACATTCCCCACCTGAAAACCCCTTTCCCATCAAAATACCCCTTGAACTCATTCACTAGGGAAGCTGAAATGACCTGCCTAATAATCACCATCCCTCCCCAGAAAATAGGGAGAATGAAAACAATGAATGTGGGCAAGCCCAGCACACTGCCCGACAGACCACTGCTTGCTCCATGCCTGCGGGTTGCCTGGGCAACTGCCGTTCCTTCTGCATGGCTAGGCAATAAGTTACCGTTAGTTTTTATTGAGAAGGGCAAGAATGAGTAACAAGCATTCCAAAAGGATCACACCGTCAAGAATAGAGGGCTCTGTACTCAAGCCTGGCTCCTAAGTGGCGCCGAGGTACCCACGCCAGCACAATTCCCGAGCATGAGACCCACTGGCTGGCTGTGTGGGCTGTTACCAAGCAGGCAAGCAGGCCGCTATCTTTTGAATAGTAGGAAAGTTTCGGTGCCACTCCATTTGAGAGCTGATGCGTAAGAAACTAGATACAGAATTTGCTAGAAATTATTTTTAAAACTTAAGGCTATCCTGGGAATTCTTTTGCTAAACAATTTCTCTCTGCTTACAGGGCTCCTTCAAGGTGGACCAAGGAGATGTGCTTGTGGAGGTTAGTGCACACCAGTGTTCTGTGCTCTGTCTTTTCTGAGCGGCTATGGTGGTCCTCTGCTCAGCCTACGGCTCTTCAAGGACACTCTGTGACCAAGCTCAGTGGTTCTCAACTTGACCTCTCCCCTTTCCCATCCTACTCTCACTTTGCACCTGCCACAGCCGTACACCATAATCTCTCTCTCTCTCTCTCTCTCTCTCACACACACACACACACACACACGCACGCACAGTGTTCTCCACAGCGATGCTCCTCAAGTCTGGACCCAAGCCTGCCCCTACGTGAGCGCCATGGCCAATCTCTAACAACTTCCAGACCCTGAAATCCAGTGGACACTTTCAGCCCTTACCTTTCTTTGCAGAACATGATACTCCTCACCATTCATTTTCCTGGATCTCCCCTTGGCTGTCCACAAGAGCACTCTCCCTGTGACTGCCCAAGACCACATTCCTCAGGCCTCTGGGAAATCAGTCTCCATGTGATACGCACCCACGCCCCACGGCTACTACCACCAATCTGCTGGCAGTTCCCGAACCACTTTCTCAAGCCTGACTCTCTCCTGAATAGATCCCTATCACCAAACGCCCACTGGCATCAGGACCTCCCTCCGAGGCTGTCTCATGAGCCCCTCAGCGAACACACTTAACGTGAACTCACCGTCATGTCTCACGGCTGCTTCTCCTTCTACAGTCTTCCATTTGGGTCGGCACCACCACCCGCCCAGCTGCCCAAGTGGAAACCAGGAGGGCACTCTTGAAGCTTGCTTTCCTTAACCGCCTCATCCAATCAACCACGTGACCTGCGGAGTCCGGCTCTCTCCACTGCCAACACCACAGCCTCTTGCCAGAATGAGGGCAAGAGCTTCCACCCTTCTCTGTCTCTGCTACTGCTTCCCCAACACTCCACTCTCCACCATGCAGCCAAAATGATCTTCCTAGTACGTATACCATGTCACTTCTGCACTTTCAACCTTTCAATAACTTAAAGCCCTAAGAATAAAGTCCAAAACTTTAAATCATGCTCACTTCCCTTCCCACTTTCTAGTCCCGCCATGACTAACATTACTTATTCAAGTCCTACTCTTATCCCCAATTAATTTTTCTCAGTATTTTTTTTTTAGATTTTACTTATTTTTAGAGGAAGGGGAAAAGAGGAAGAAAGAGAAACACTGATGTGCAGAAGAAACATCCATTGGTAGCCCCTCGCCTGCCCTGAACTGGGGACCTGACCCACAACCTAGGTGTGGGCCTGATTGAGAATCAAACTGGTAACCTTTTGGTTCTCAGGCCAGCACTCAATCCACTCAGCCACACCAGCCAGAGCCTTGCTTTATTTTTTTAAGTAAAATTTCCTCTGCTTTGAATATGCTTCACTTGGTCAATGCTGCACCCCTTTTAAGATTCAACTTAGGAAAACACTCCTGCCAGGGAGCCTACCTTGACTTTCTACATAGGACATGAAACCCCTGCTACATGGCCCACAATACCTGAGCATCCCCTTACTTGGGCACCTATTTCAATCCATTAGAAGAATCTTACTTTATGGTGGTTCTGGATCTCAGCACTTCCCCCTCTCCGCCCCGCTGAATCAGGGAACCACTGTTTCCCATCTTTCCCAGGGAATCACTGTTAGCTGACTGCAGTGAACCATTCACAAAGCATTTGGGTGTTTGTTTGCAACAGCATGAAATAGAGAATTCAGGGCTACAGGTGGTTTCAACTGAGAGTTCACTTAAGTTTATGTCTTAATAGTATTCTCATTTTGTCTAAAAAGCATTATTTCATCAAAAATCCAGCTAAAAAGTGTATCACGTCAAAAGTAAAAAAAAAAAAAAAGAAAAAAGGACATACACAAGCTGGGCAGAGGCGCAAACAAAGTGACTGACCAGTGTGGCTCAGTGGGGTGAACATAATCCTGCAAAAAAGTGGGTCACCGGTTCGATTCTTGGTCAGGGCACAGGCCTGTGTCGTGGGTTCAGTCCCTGGTTTGGGGCACACAAGGGGCAACCGATGGACGTTTCTCTCGTACCTCAGTGTTTCTCTCCCTCCTTTCCCCTCTCTAAAAATAAAATCTTAAAAAAAGGGAAAAGACTAAGAATTCTGACCTAAGTGGAAATAAGGTACGCCTGTGGCCACCCTGGTGCCAGCACTGACACGCCATCTGTGACCCTCTTCCCTACTGGTTAGGACAAGTCCCCAACGCATAAACCTAAACAGTAATTTTAGGTGGAGCTACACATTCTTTGCAATTATATAGCAGATGCTGTGCAAATGGCCAGATTAGTATGGTCCCAATGCTAATAAGCATTCTTGGAAGAGCCATTACACCTATGTGAGAACCATGTTCACATGGACCTACGTGCCTAAGACCGTCCATCTGGTAAAGGGCAGAGATGGAATTTGAACTGAGCTCTACAGTTCAAGATCCCAAGTTCTTAAGTACTGCCTCTAAGGTGTGCCAGTCCCAACTCATGGGTAAAAGAGCCAAGGCATGGCCATCATGGTCATGTCTGGGTCCCCTCAAAATTGTAAGGCAGCCTCGTGCGGGCAGCAAGAATTACAGCCAGATACAAGAGCAGCAAAATAACGCCGAGGCTCCCCGAGTGCCAGGGCTGCACCCAGACGGAAAAGCCCCAGGTACGCACACTGTTGATGTGAACCAAGGTAATACAAGGACCACGCACAGCTGACACCTGAGAACTTGAGCCAGCAGCTTCCACCTTCCATGACCAACACAGACAATGGCTGCCGGAAACAGGTCTTGGGCAAGGACCGGAAGCAGACCTCAGTGCTCAGGTCAGGGAGTGCTACCTGTGACAGGCAAAATTGGAGAGTGGTGACCAGCCCACCACCTCTAGGACAGGCTCTCCTTAGTTCAGAGGAACTCAACCCACTGGCCAAGTCTTCTGGGTTCTGCACCTCCTTGTGGCATTTGCAGTGACACACATCCTATACTAGGGCACTATGGGGAGTGGCCCAGCCATCGAGGCACAAGAGACCTAAAAAACCAGAATCTTCCAATAATGGTATATAACTCAGGCTTGTGAAGTGAACTTGTAAAAATTGTTTTCTTGTTGTTTCCTCTCTCTGGATGCTAAAGCAAATAGTTTGTGCCTCTGATGACAATTTCAAAAAAGGGTCTGCATGGAAGAAATAATTTTTTTTCCCACTAGGCAGAAATGTTTCTTTAAAAAGGATATACATGCTGCTCAAGGAAAGCAGTTCCTGTCAGCTGCTTAATTCTAGACAAGCCTGTATCGCAGGCCAGGTCTATAGTTGGGGGAGTACAAGAGGCAACCGATCATTGTATCTCTAGCACATCAATGTCTCTCCCTCCCTTCCCTTTGAAAAATAAATTTTAAAAAAATTTTTATAAATAAGAATTTGGTTTATTGATAAATATTCCCTGATGCTCACATAGCATAGTACACTCAACACCTTCCAAAAAATATTTCTATTCCAATCTTTTAAACTGTGGTGTACTGAATTCAGAATCTATATATTAAAGACACAGTTAATGCATAAAAACACAAAACACCCCCCCAAGTGTCACAAAGCCACTTAATGTGGACAGTGCCATGACCGTCTCCACATGCAAGTTCTGCAAGTTTCCAGTATCACCAAGGAACAGACTCAGAAAACAAGCATTGATTCTGCTGCATTTATTATTAGAACCAATAGTCTGCAGTGAATGACGGACTAGCTGCTCTTCTCCTGTTCACTCTGGACATTGTAAACTGGACTAGATGCACAGGGCGACTTTTACACTACAGAGGTTTACATCTGTCCTCTGACTCCCAGCAGCAGGTAGGTCCGGGAATTCAAGGCATTGACTTTCGCCATCATGGAAGACACCATCCCTTTTCTTCGGGATTTTCTGCAAGGGAGGGTTGCACCCAGTGCTGGGTTGAAAACATGTGAATAGGGAGAAGAACCTAAAATAACCAGGTCTCAGAGGATACTTAGATGCCAAGAAGTATCTATGAACACTTAGCATGCCAAAACGGGCAGACTCTGGGGATCACCAAGTCAAAACTTTCAAACTTGATCCCTGTCAGAGATAAGTCAGACTAAAGAGCTACCACTTTAGTGGAGCCAGAGAAAGTCGGTGTTACCCAGATGGAAAACAGCGGCATTCAGGATGGTCCCAGGACTCCAAAGCTCCAAGGCAATGCGTTTTCTTTTGTTTGTTTAGGCTTTCTTCTCTTTCTTTTCTCTTTATTCTTCATTCTTTTTCCATTTCCATTAGGCCTTGCCCCCCACATCCCCAACTGGTATCTTGAAGCTTGCTTGCTTCTTTCTCATTCTGCTTTGCTACTTTTTGGTAGTGGCTAGTATGTCATCGCACAGGGACATTTTAAATGCTCCTTTATCACAATTCTGAATCTGGTAACTGGTGGATTAGTGAACTGGATCAGTTAATTTTGAAAAAGGCAAGTAAGTAGTAAGAAGGTGGAAATCTTGAAGCTGGAAGCTATGAACTCCCCTAGCCCCCTCAGCCACCCTAACAGACTGGCTGGGCTCGGGAACCCATGTGTGCCTGTGTGAGTCCACCCAGTCCTATCTGCTTGGAGGATGTGGCCACCTAATTATAGTGAAACTAACACCTTGAGAATGTTGTTCTCAAACATATATACATATGTATGATGATCCTGGAACATACGATGAAGCCATTTAAAATCCAGTTACTGAGTATTCAAGAAAAGCAGACAAAGCTGTCTAGAGGAGCGTACTGAATCTGCAGATGGGATAGAGACTGCTTTTGTGGGCAGATCATTTTTAGAACCTTGCGATGCTGCTGAAGTCCCAGGGTTTCGCTCAATATTTAAAAGATCAAAACTACTGAAGTACACTTCAGGAAACAAATTGTGTGAAAACACTTAAAAAGAAAAAAAAGATACGCTTATCAAAGGTCCCTTACTTACTTGCATTGTTTTTTTCCTGAGTGGTATCTGCATCAGTGTTAGAGCTGACAGACTGACTGTCTGAATTTTTGCTGCTGTCACCTAACTTTTTAAGCCTATTTAAACGTTTATCTGTTTCTCTGAGTCCATATTTGCTATTGATAACAGGAGCAGGCGCAGGCAGTCCCACTCTGGATTTAAAAGCACCAGTTCCCCGTCTGAAAGAGAAAAGAGCACATGTCACACAAATAGCACACTTACTCACCACAGGCCGCGGACTCCAGGCCCCACCAGGTAACAGATGTGATGAGCGGAGGAGGCCTCCACCACCACTGGGGATCTGCTAAGTCTAGAGCTCTCTGAATAAATTAAATATGTATATAAAGTTAACAAAAACAACAAGTTGTTATGATTGCTGTCAATTATTAATTGCCCATGAGAAACTATAGAGCCCTGTAGAATTTCATGTGCAGATAACAATAAATGACTGATTCTTCAATTTTGAAACTGGTTGGTGAAATAATTAGGTCTAAATTGTGACTTAAATATCCCACCTTTTAATTATATTCTAGCTTTCTTCTGCATCATTTAACACTACATTACTAAATATTGAAAATTAAGAAATTAAAAAAAGAAACCAGAGAATTTCCATAAATTAAGTCATTACTTAGATTGAACTTAATGTTAGATACAAATAAATCCTAACTGAAATTTTGTATTAGAAGGCTAAGCTATATTAGTGAAAATTTGACTTTGGGAACAACAACAAAAAACCTGTTACGTAATTCCTTTAAAGTTATTGAAATGAACATAAATGATCATAATCAAGTTAATGTTACTAAATAAAAGACATTAAAAGACTTGCTTTTACCACAGAATAATTTCTAACCTGCTTTAACTATTGGTATTTATATATATAAATTCTTCTGAAGTGAGAGCGCTTAATGGGAAAGTTCCTAAACTTCCTAAATGAATCTAGTTTTGCAAATCTTTGCTTTATTCAGTGTATAAAGGAAAATTCCTACTTGGATCTATTCAAAAGAATAAATTATACATTAATGAGATTTTTAAAAAGCACTACCTATTGCATTTAAGAAGTGAGACTTCTGTTTAGCTAAAATCGCTTTCGTGGCTTGCCCTTTATCGGCCTTTGCTTGTTAAAGGAAAAGCCATGTAGTAACAGCTTCTGACCTTGTAGCCAAATTGTGAATACTCTCCAGTTTGAAAACAATCTTGCCCTGCAGGAGATCCTGTGTGTTTTATTTCCTTCAGGATTTTCTTCCCCCAAGGAATGAGTGTTTTTAATTTTTCGCTAAGGGACAACAATAGTTTTTTCTGTCCCCACTCTTACCTCTTAATGCTGAGAAGCACAGACCTAAACCTAAAGCAGAAACTATTTTTGATAAATAAGGTGAGAATTCTTGCTTTCTTCACCTTCACAGAATGCAACGGGAATTTTTATTAATGCTTTTGTAAAAACAATAAAAAACTTACTGTGGGGACTGCCTCAATTCTTTTGTTCGAAAGGTGCATTAGAAATTCTCACCGAGCCAGGCAACCAATGACTCTCAACTCCACCCCAAAATACATTTAGAAAAATAAATCCATAAATTCCAAAGGCCATTTCATCTCATATGAATAAAGAAAAGTAATAAATTACTTTCAGATATTCCATGTCCTTTTATCGTAACAGCATTTCTGAAAGATGGGCCACACTTAAAAGTATGCTTAAACACAAAATAAATGATTGTAGTGGGATTATTTTATCTGGAAAATAGGTTTATTTTTTAGTAAAACTCTACTATTGATCTACTTCTCCACTACCCTCATCTTTTTTTTTAACTTAGGAAAGTGATATATGCTCATGCTTGCTGCAACCAACCAAACAACCCTAGGATATAAATATAACACAGAAACTGATGGTATTTCCCAGCGCCCTATAGCCCACAGCCCTGAGGTACCAGTGCTAACCACCTGCCAGCACATCAGCTTCCACTTCTTTACCACAATCTACACACCAATCTACGGTGGCAGTGTTTTCTGAGCCAACAAAACCAGCAGGATATCATGCATTCACTCAGCAACCAGCTATATCATCATTACATCATGGACAAATAAATTGGAATAGAACATGTTTTAGAAGTTGTACTTTCTATATAGAATAAACATTCCACAGTTTATTCAATCACTGCCCATCGGTGATACTGAAACTTGCGGGCTACTTTTCTTGCTTGCCACCACGAACACAGCTGCTACTCTGCTCTTGAAACAAATCCTTGCTGACTACTTTTCATATTGCCACAGGATAGATTCCTCCACGTGAGACTGACTGACAGGTAAATGGTGCACTTACTCTTGACACAGACTGCCGGACCACTTTCCCAAAAGGTCACAGCTATTCACAGCCCTAATAACATTACGCCTGTTTCTCCAGATCCTCACCAGCAGTATGCAGCGCACCCCTTATATTTTGCCAACTGATAGTGAAAATGAATACCTACCTGTTTTAATTTCCTTGCTTATGGTCATCCATTTTCTGTGCAGCATCCTCTTTCCCTTTCCCTTACGAGCTTACTGGAGTTTTTGTTATTATAATATTAACTCTTCGTGTGTACCTTTTCCCCTTTATCATTTGTCTTTGACTTTATTTTCAGCCATTCGAAAATTTTAGTATTTTACCATTTGTCTTCTTTCAAAAGAATACTACTACCCCATGTCAGACATATATTCTCCTAAATTGTTTTCCAATAGTTTTGCATTGTATTTTTAAATTTAAATCCTTAATCCATCTGGAATTTATTTTTGTATAGTGTGAGGTCGAGGTTTAGCTTGATTCTCTTCCAGACATAATGAACAACAGCTGACCCTTGAACAACGCAGGGCTCAGGGGGCACCAATCACTCTTGCAGTCGAAGATCCGGCCCTCCGCACATGCAGATTCCCAGCTGCAGATCGCGTATACTGCACCATCATGCCTGTCTCTGTTTCAGGGCTCTATGCATGTCATCGTCCTGACTTGTCCATTTCTGGACCAGTATCATCAAGTTTTGATTACAACTGTTTCATAGTAACTTTTAATATCTGTTAAGGGAAATCTCCCTTAACTATACTTTAGAAATTTTTCCTTGGCTATCATTAAACATACTTTCACATAAGCTCTACAGTAATTTGGTCCCTCATTAGATTTTATTCCTACAGTTTCCTAGAGTGAACTCTGCAGTGTTCATTAGGATCATATGACAATCGCTGCTGTGTCAGGACGGTCACAGCCCAGATGCATGCATCCAGGGCATCCTGGACTTCACCTGCGACTCCGGGGCCTCTGGAAAAATTCTGCTCTCTCTCCGTTCTTCATTAGGCCACCTCTTCTCACCTTTCAGCACCCAGCACAGTGGGAGTGGGAGTGTGTGTGTATGTACACTACCCTCACAGCTGGCGCTGTGCTTAGTCTTGTTTATCATGCATGTGTAGGCCTAACATAAAGTAGCTATTCAGTTAACATCTGATGAATCATTGAATGAGTCCCTTCGACTAGTTTCATCCTCTCACCACCCTTTCACAGGATGGCTATCAGGACTGAATGAGTCAAGATCGGTGGTGTCCAGAACAGGGCAGGGCACATGAAAATGGGCTCAAAGAACCCAGGTTTGCTGGGCAGTGTGGCCCATGCAGTCTGCACTAGGTTGTGACGGAGCCTTCCTGCAGTTCTACCCAGACAAGCTTGTGAGGCTGTCTCTGGGAGCTCAGGAAGGCAGAAGGCGCTCCAATGAGGCGCTGAACAGCACTGCTGCTATGGCAGATCCAGGGGATTGCCACAAGGACGCCCGAGTCTCAATGGGTCACACAGAGAGGCTCCCAGATAAGTGATGGGACTTAGGAATTATGAAGAGTATATGCAATCAAAACAAAAATACCAGAGGACACAGCTTGGTAATTCACAAGACTATGCCAGGGTTTTACATGACTGTCAGCAATAGAACCCCACTTATCAATTTTGGGGCAACCTCACCCTGGGGGTGTGTGTGTGTGTGTGTGTGTGTGTGTTCGTGTGTGTGTGTGTGTGTGTGTGTGTGTGTGTGTGTGTGTGTTTCCCGCTCTCTCCTTAAGCACATTTGAATTCTGCTCCATTCAGAATAAGAGTAACAGCTGGTAACAGTATGATTTTGAAGGGTCCAGTTCCAGTGCCCCTGAAAGTCCTTGGATCCTTTGATTTTGTTTATGTATTTGGTACTGGGGGCGATGTGCTAATATACACAACTATCCCTGCATTTAAATGACAAATAATATAATTTAACTCCCACGATCATCAGGTGGTTAAAAGAATGAAAAAGCTGAACATCTTAATTAGTATCTTACCTTTCACAAGTGTAACACTCGCAGAACTCATTATTTTCTCCAAAAAACCCATCTCCATAGTAACAAGAAATTTCTTCTCCAGGTTCAATATCTCTTAGAGCCTTCACACATGCTGTGTCTCGACCAGTTGACACAAACTGAAATAAAATTAACTCAATAAGAAACTTGTACCTAGAGCAGAAACTAAATACTTGAGATAAAATTTTTGTGCTTACCTTACAGTTAGGTCTGCAATCTGAAAAATGTCCAAAAGATAAAGTCAATTAACTGTAGATTAGATCTGAAACACGAACAATTACAGAAATCTGAAATAAGCTTTCCATATAAGTTTACAACTTTTGATAGAAGTTTACATCTCAAGTTAAACTACAGGAATACTTATTTTAACAACTTTGTGAGAGGAAAATCACATGCCTCACCCGCCTACAGAGGAGACAGAGGCCGTCCTCAGCTGGCCGTCCTCACTATGAGCAGTGCCGCCCCACCCAGTGCTGCTGCCCGAGAAAGCGTGCTTACCGTGGTTGATAAACGCCGCGGGGCCGAGCCAGAGCTGAGCGCAGTTTTTCCTCGTGGAATACATGACACTGAAGTCATTTTCTCCATGTCTAAGTAGCATGTTCTCCTCAATTTCTGAAAGTTCGGCAATACAACCCACCAGTAATTCTATTTTGTCATTTCGTTTCCTATTTAAAATGTGATGTTAAAAATTACCAATTAAATAACACGCCTTTTAATAAAATAAGCCTGTCCAAAAAATATCAAGTATCAAGAAGACCTAGTTCTGCATATTTTAGCTGATTTGGATCCCCACTTGGAAGCCCCAAAGCCTTTGCCATGGTTCTTGTGCGGCTGCCTTATCCCTAAAAGAAGCTGGAAAGTCCTCCGGAACAGGAACTGTGCTACCCTTCTGTCTCCAAATGCCCTGCAGCACCCAGTGTAGTGTTCTGCAAGCAGGGAGGACTCAAATCCCTGCTGCCCTGAATTCAACCGGCTGGTGTGGATGGAGGAGACCCAGACAAGTGCAACAGCAGGGAAGAGCTACAAGGACCCAGAATCGGGAAGCTGCCACCCCACAGACATGTACCACAAGCCCAGCACAGTCTTCCATTGTCTAATAGCCATTTAAACAAAGTAAAGGAGAAACACGTGAAATTACTTTCAGTAATATGTTTCCACCCACTATATCCCAAGCACAATTTCAGCAGGTAGTCAGTGTAAGAAATATTAATGAAAGATAATTTAATATAAAATTTGGCACATGCATCACATTTACTGCAGCGCTCAATTCAGACCAGTCACATTTCAAGGGCTCGAACCACAAGTGGCGGGCGGCTACTGCACTGGACAGCACAGCTCTGGAACCCGAGATCTCAAAGCTCCACACCCATCACCACCACACGCCTGGTATCGCCCCAAGGCACACTCACATACACACACCCGTCCAAGCCTGTAATGCTCTTTGCCCACTCCGTTTTTCAGGCACCTGACCCTAAAATTGCTGCTATAAAATATATTAAGGTGGTATATGAGAGCGGCTACAGTACTCTTTTGAGGAAAATGGTAGAGAATAGGCATTAGAGGAAAGAAGCTATAATCACATTTTTCTCTCATTTATGGCTGCTATCCCTCCTAATGGGGCTCAACTTGACAATTTTTACTGAAGCTGGCACATGCGATTATTTTTTAAGCAGGCAGTGTGCTAGGGAATTTCCACCCATTGACTTCCTAGGGTCACAAAGGAATGGTTCACGCCTAACCTTTCTTCAAGGCCAGTAAAAGACTGACTCTGGAAGCCAGGTTGTCCAATCCTGGCCTCCACAACCTTTCAATAGTCCCATCATTAAGCAGGCACACAGACTCAATTGAAAAAAAACAACAAAGAGCACTTTGGCTTAGCGACAGACTCCGGTTCAACTCTGAATTCTAATTCCAAACAGCAAAGATGGGAATGAAGAACAACAACAGACCCTGGTTGCTGGGCCAAGGCCCTGGCCCTGCGCTGGCTCCTCCACTGTAGGCTCTGGTTTCATACCTTCCCATGACTTTCTTAGCATTTCAACAGTAACTTAAGAAAGAATTTGAAGAAAATAACTATGAGTTTATACTAGTGTAATAGTTACCACTCTTTCGTTGCAACTATCTTGGCTCCATTTTGTTCTGATGAGTATCTATTACAGGGCAGTATTTCAAATCCACTGTCAGTTGCAAACATTCTCAAGTAAATGAACACCTAAAACAGAAACAAATCGACATTAACTTTATATTGCTTGTCCTGCTAGACTTTCTTGGAATTATAAAAGCAAACTACCACCAACAATATACAAACTTAAGATCATGAAGTAACAAACTTTGTTGGTATTTTAAAATTTCACATATATGAGCACTTAATGGCTTGGCTATGTTACTCTAAAAGTTCACAAAGAATATCACTTCTAGATGATAAAGTTTTCTCTTTGTGTAGTCATACAAATGATTTTATATGTTACTAGATCTCCATACGGTTAGTTTTACAAAAATTTTGTTTATTTATTTTTAGAGAGAAGGCAGGGAGGGAGAAAGAGGGAGAGAAACATCAGTGTGAGAGAGAAACATCGATCGGTTGCCTCTCACATGTGCCCTGACTGGAGACCAAACCCACAACCCAGGCCTGTGCCCTGACCGGGAACTGAACCAGTGACCTTTTGTCCTGTGGGATGATGCCCAACCAATGGGGTGAGCCACACGGGTCAGAGCCAAAAAACTAATTTCAAGTTTCAGTGTTCACCAAAATTTAAGCGCTAGTCTCCTTCACTCTTATCCAAACAGATAAATAGTATTAATCTTATTAATAAACCTACATGTTCCTTGAATAATTTCTCCTGCATTTTGTTCTTGTTGAGAAAATAGTGCCGTGCCCATTCGCCTGAAGTCAAACATTTGAAGGCTTTCTCCAAGTGCTCATCTTTTTTAAAACGTTCAATTACTTCCTTTAGTTCTTCTTGCCTTCCTTTAATAGGCCGAAATCTGGGGGGGGGGGAATCAAGACAACAACTTTAGTTATCTGCCATCATCCTTGGGACACTGTTAAGAGACACTGAGAAAGAGATAACCCAAAAACCACCAGACCTAACAAAAGAGATCAATAACCTGATAACTACTACTCAAGTAATATTGATCACCAGGAAATATAACTTCTCTTTCTTCAGACTGCATTTTAATATTTTTATTTCACTGTTGTCTCATTAACTGATGATTCCAGCAAATGCGCTCTGATTCAGTCTTGTACTCATCATCTACTATGAGAGGTGCAAAATGAAAGACGTACAATAGCACTCATCTAATTGTGTTAGAATGACAAGAATTTTTTTAAAAAACATGCAGAATCGAGCCAGAAGAGTGCCAGGCAATGAGCTTCAGAAGAATGAGAAGCAAACAAAATCATGCCGCTAACAAAACATTCTCTACATACAGTTAGAAAAACCACCATAGGTTTCAAAATACACCTTGGTGTTTCAACACCATGTCAAATTAGTCTCTGACCACTGCATTCAGAGAACAAGGAGTGCAGAAGAAGTACGACTCTAGCAGCGATGCTGCTGTGTGGGTGATGTAAGCAAAAACTGTTGATGCAGAATAATAAAAGACTTCTAGTGTAAAATCAGCTATACCAACTTCAGAGTATTAATTTCTAGTCATAAAATAACACATGATACAATCATGGTCCAAGTAAAACTTATGTTTGTAAGCCCCTCATTCTAAAGTTGTATTCTCAATAAAACATGCACTATAAATAAAGGTACTTGGATTTTAATTAAAAAACTTCTGCTCATGTCAGCTTCATTTGGTTTATTTTCCTAAATAAAGTTTAAAACAAAAAAATCCAACCAAAAAAGGAACTGCAGACTGCTATTCAAATAGACTAAGTTAAAAAAAATTAAGGGCCAAGGAGAAAAAGATGTGAACTATGCCTTTCAACTCTTAAGAATTAAAATTACACACCTCATAAATGTGAAAATGCTAAAACTGAGATAAGATCTAGCATAAACTCCACGGAAGGAAGCGTTCAAGCAGAATTTTTTTTCTAGATAGGTTATCATAAATGTATTCATAACATTTCAGTAAGATTTTAAGCCACAACATCTCACCATGGATTATTTATTAGGTACTGTGTACACAGGTGCTATGGTGAAAAATAGGTGACAGACTGGATACTGCTCTCTCTTTTTAAAAAATTTTATTTACTGATTTTAAAGAAAGAGAAAGGGGCGGGAAGAGAGAGAGAGAGAGAAACATTGATTTGTTGTTCCATTTATTTGTACAACATTCACTGGTTGGTTCTAGTATGTGCCCTGACTGAGGATTGAACTGGCAACCTTGGTGTATCGGGACAATGCCTTAACCAACTAAGCTACCCAGCCAGGGCTGGCCAATGCTCTTAAATGAGAAATTTAATTGCGACTGAAAGACATACACATGCATCAAACAGTTAAGCAAGGTATCGATATGCAAATGCATGTTAATATGGTACAAACTACATTGCTATAGCACTTTAAAGATGGAAATTATAACTAGAGTGAAGATTTGTTTGAGAAGGAGTTTTGCAGTTCAGATTGGTATGGGCAGTGAGGCGAGGTGTGAATTCAGCTTTCTAGAATACTACTATAGGCAGGAAAGAATCAAAGGAGGGAGGGCAAAGTGAGAGGGAATTTAAGCAAAGGATCCTAATAATGCCAGATTCAAAGAGACAAATGGGCTGAGGGAATCAGGTGGACTACAGCAAAGGAAAGTACTAGAACAGGAAAAGGAAAGACATGAGGTCTGGAGAGGATCTTGGGAGGACTTGAGGTATATTAACGTATGCCGATATCTCTGGGAACTTTCTAGCTTCAGACTCTACTTTCAGTAAGTTCTCACAACGACTTAGCAGAACCATCTGAAAAATTTTAAACACATCATATAAAGAAATGACAATGCCTTATTTTATTTTCCATTTTCAATTAATTAGCATACCAGCCCTGACAGACATATGGGTGGAAGTCCTTTAAACAATCAGAATGTTTTTACCTAGGATTGCCAGGATATGGTGTTGGAGAACTACCACTAAAATATCTAAAAATTTGCAGAATTGTGAAAGTATCTAAGCTTCCACAGTTATAACATCAAGCTACTTATATATATTACAAGTGATTTTGTCACGACTGGGTTTCTTAACCCCTTCATGCTGCAAGCCTACACTGGGAGTATCTGCATATGAAGGACAGTGGAGACAGCCAAGCAGCTGTTCGCTAAGGCATGCCACCTCACACAATACAAAAATATGGAATGGCGGGAAATGGATCACCCATGTTTTGTGCAGTGAACAGAAAGCAACACTTCACTTTGAGCAAATACAATGTATAATCCATGAGGTTAGTGGCAGGGCTACAAATGACAGAAAGAGCCAAGCCATCTTGGTATGTTCAACATAGGACTGACCAGTGGTGACATGTTATTTCAAAATAATCACATGGCTCAACATATTAGCAAGCAAGTCAGAGTCCGGTCTAAATTCACTTGAAGCTTTAAGAATAGGACAGAAAAATAGGTGACAGACATGGACTGGACACTGGCTATTCCTGTGGGCTCGACGTGTGCTCTCCACTTCCTGAAACCTGCTCCTTCCTACCCAAAAATGCCTCTCCACTATCTGTAGTTTTGTCTACTCTTTGTTCATAATGCCAATTTATATGCTAAAACCAACACAAAATAATGAACTCTTGTTTTAGTAATATTCTGCCTTCCACCTTTCCTGTGCTGACTTTCTTTGCTTTTCTGGTATCTATCGGTTCAAACAAAAACAAAACCCCCCAAACTGCTACTTGCTACCCACTAATAAGAACCTCCATTTCATTTAAAATATAATTTATCATCAAAACTTCCTATCACAGTTGGTTGCTACAGGCGTGAAATGATAGTCAAAGAAAGAAGAAAATGGTTCTGGGTACAGACAGGAAGGAGAAGAGACAGCTGTTTCCAATAATGCTACAAAAATACATCAAAATCACTGGCTGACTGTTCAAGCCAAATCCCATTATAACAAATACTGTGAGGAAATAAAAGTTATTTAGTAACATAAGATTGTTACAATTATTAGGGCTAGAGCAAATGGCACTAAGGACCTCAGTAAAAATTAAAATAATTTTCTTTTTTTAAAAAAAGATTTTATTTTTAGAGAGAGGGAAAGGGAGGGAGGAAGAGGGAGAGAAACACTGATGTGAGAGAGAAACATCAATTGGTTGCCTCCTTACACACCTCCAACCGGGAACCTGGCCCACAACCCAGGCCTGTGCCCTGACCATTCTGATTTGCAGGGCAGTACTCAATCCACTGAGCCACACCAGCCAGGGCATAAAATAATTTTCTATTATTGAGTAGAAAGATACCCTCTGCCCCTCTGCCCTCTCCTTAATCACAATCACTCTAAATCTCCCATACAAACTGCGCAAAGCCATCCTTTCACCATGCTTCTTAAAGCTAGAAGAAAATTGAGACTATCCAACACAGCCCTCTTACTCCATAAATGGGGAGAATGAGGCTCAGGAGGGCCCAGAACGGAAGCCTGCCTCGAGCTTGCGTGGGCTCGGAGGGCCCTCTGGTGGCGCTGCACATTACAACAGGATTTGAAGAGTTTGCCATGCAGCACAAGCCCTGAGCCCAGCCAGGCGCTGGCTGGTATTCTGACAATACAGTGAAAGGTAACACGTACTTTTAAATGTGGCCTTTGGGGGTAAATTGGAGTGGCAGGGAGGCAAGAGAAGCAGGCATCTGATATTCCCAAATCAGTATGTCCCTCCTCCCTTTCAAACACAAACTTTGCTACTTTCAATAAATCAACTGTTTCTTTTTCTCTTCCCACAACTGATTGATGGCTGCTGTAAGAAATTTTTTTTTAAACGTCATTTACAATCATTTACTATTAATAGGGGCAGGAAAAAAATACATGAATTCACACTCCCACACACCTGTTCCCCACTCTTTCCAGAGACTGACTTCCCAGGTTTTCTTGCTATTTGGTTTTTCTGTTTCCAAACCCAAGAGACCACTGTGGCAATGAAGAAAGGCTGCAGATCTGCATTAGCTGTACTACTGTCCCTTCCATCAGCATGTACAACCAAGAGCTGACTGGAGGAAGGGAGAAGGGGGGGGGGCAGAAAAAAGGGAGTAAGGGAAGGGGACAGGAAGAGAGAAATGCTCAAATATTTAAGATATAATATAAGAAAACCACAAGGCAACATTGTGAACCCATTTCCCCCTTTGAAGAAAGGTTAACGGCAAACTGAGGGCTCGCAGGTGCCGAGGAGGAGGAGGCATGCTAAAGCCACAGCTCTTCGTTCCTTCTTCACCTGGAAATAAACAACAACCAGAAACATACCTGGCTGAGTCCTGCACTCAGTGCTCAGCTAATCCCAGGGAGTGACTCCTGATCTTTTGATGAATGATTTCTCTTAAAAGTACCCTGTTATGGAGTACAAGTGGTTTTTTTAAATACAGCTATGACTAACACCAAACTATTTTAACAGGTTTTGCAAAATGTAAAACTCATGTTTATGCTGATACCTCCATTACGTTACATGAAAGAACATCATAAAGGCTGCAACAGGTAAGCGGGCATCTTATTATTGTTTGTAATGCACTCTACCTACCTCACAGGGTTGTTGTGAGGAAAACTGTCAGATTTTGAAAAATGCCTTGAGCTCCTCGAAGGAAAGGCGCTATATAAATGCAAAAACAAACAACAACAATAAAAAACTATTTGTACAATCTGTACTTGCAATCTCTAAACAGACTTACAACATTAGCTGTAGCAAAAATCCTTAAAACACTGAAATTCCAGAACTTAATGGAGCCACAGGTAGTCTCAACCTGATAAAAGCCAGGATGCTGACATTCTTTCCTTCCCACATGACATCATTTTACCCCGGATTACACTGAATTAGAAGGTCTAAGAATTTCTTTAGGCTTTCAAGTCAAGCGCTTGATTTCAAAGTGACATTTAAAGTGGTTTATAAATCTGTATCCAACAGTGGATATGAATAATCAAGTATATAAATAAGTGAAAGAAAATTAGATGGTCACAGCAGTGGAAGGATGAGTAAGGACTGTACAGACTGACATTTGGATCAGAAAAATCAAGAGAAGTTCCAAAGAAAAAGTGCCCTGAGATGACTCTTCTCATTTCTTTATAATGTTATTTCCTACTCTACTCACCTGAAACTCCCCCTCTCCTCATGATACTGTCAAATCTCTGTGTTCTACAGCATGAATAAGGGGCACCTGCCCTGGCTTTACAATATCCACTGCCCTACTCTGATTTTTTAAAAATCAGAGGCATTACTAACAACTCTATTCTCTAGCTAAAAAGAAAAATTTAAGTTTCATAATTGACACGTCAACTGAGTCTAAGTATTTCCCAATAAATTGAAATTACTATTTTGTTTACACTATTTCTAGGTATTCATGCTATAACTCTGACTTACTTGTTAGTAAATTAGGGATATTTTAAGATTAAAACATGAGTATTCATAATATAGTTTAGGAAATTCTCAAATCATTAAACATCTACTGTTTCTGAACACAGTACAATGAAAGAAGTTGAAAGGAGGGAAAAAAGGCATAAAAAAGAGAAACTAAAAACTGACAGTCAAATTACAGACATATAAACACAAGAACAAAGAGACCATTATACAAGTAACAGACAGCTCGGAGTATTAAAACCCAAGCTCCAATCCTATTTTCCAGTCACTTCATTTGCACCCCAAAGAGAGAGAAGTCTACAAGCTAGTAATTTTAGAACTATTTATGGTTTATTCAAATAAAGCACTATAGATTTTCCTTATTTTCTATAAAATAGTATCTTTCAACATGATGTAAGCCAACATTTCTGGTAAATTCTAGCTTAAAAGGCAAAGAACTATAATGGATAGTTTTATTTTCAAGTACGTCCACTAAGATTAAATGAAAATGTATAGCATTCCCTAAGATCGAAAGCTTCATTGCTAAGATTTCTGTGCATTCCCCAAGTGTCAGCTTACAAGAGCCTGTGGAAGCACCTTTGAAGTGAACGCCAAGTGCCTCTCGGCCCCACAACAGCAACAGTGATGCTCAGCCCTAGGGGCTGAGGTGCCCGCCCTGCTGCAAAGCCAGCTTGGCCCCCCAGGGCACAACGGGACTGTCTACACCCCCAGTGGCTGTTTTAGGAATTATATGAGAAGAATTCAGTAATGCAGCAATGAAAAATAGTAAGTACATGTCGTCTTCTGCATGTTAGGCTAGGTTTAACCAGTTTTCATTTTAGATACATCAATTTCTACTCATAAAAAATTTTACATACTGGATACATTTTAATTTGGGGGTACCTGGATATAGTAACATCCTGAGTTTTAATGATGGTGCAGCAAGCCTAGACTTTACAATTTAAGGAGACGTTTTTAAGTGAGCCCCAAGAAACTACTGGCAGAGCATTTTTAACCCACTTTTTGCATCACTAGGAAGCTCAGTAGGCCCGGTGCACGGGACCCTGCTGAGCGCATGGCCGGGAGCTTGTCAGAAACGGAGGCTCCTAGGCTTCACCCACAGCTCAGGGTCTGCATCCTAACAAGACTCCTCAACTGACTCCTAGAAACCAACTATGAGAAGCAGGTGTCAATGAGGATTTTTATAGAAAATAGGAGTTATTTCCCATAACAGAAGATAGTAACAGGCAACCCTTCGTCCTTTGGAACAAAGCATGGGGATTCTGAATACATAGATTTTTTTCCTCAGCCACTGAAAACGTTCTGTAATTCTGATGGAATGCTTTTTAAAATGGTTTATATGCTTCCATATTTCAGTATATATAAGGCTTACTGATCATAATCTAACTCTTGATGACTTCAGGTCATAATTATGGGCCTCTGTGGTAATATCTTGAATGCCACTAGACTGTTACGTGAATCAGTAATTCACATTTCTTAACTCAGGGAAAAGAAGGCCAAAGAGGTGACTTAAATACTATCAGGATCCTCTAGAGAATGAGCGCCGCGCTCTTTTGTTCACTGGGAAGAAAAGGAAATGGGCTTAAAATAATTCAAACTAGATTTTACTTGCACACGAAGGCATCTAATTCTGCTGGCTTTCCAGAGAGCAGTCATCCATCTGCCTAATTACAAAATTTAAGTATTTGCCCCTCTGAAGACAGGGAACTAGTGAAAGAATCTCCCAAGCCCATCCCAGCTCTTCACTTCATTTTAGTAGGTCAAGATATAGGATAACAAGAAATCACATGAAGATACCAAACGCACATCTTTACCCAAATTTCTTCTTTCTGGATTTAGAATGTAATTAATAAATGCATTATATAGTCTATTGTTTTAATTCTAGCAAGTGACAGAATTTAAAGGGAAAAAGATGGACACAGATTTTCCTCCTAATCACCTTTATTCACCAATTCCTACTGCCCTCCAACTAGTTATCAGTGACTGTCCCCCTGTGATCACGTCCTCCAGGGCTAGTCACTGGCACCGGAGCTACTGAGCACCAGAGCTAGGGTGACAGAGGTAAGAGTGGACAGTGGCCCAGAGCTCGCTCTACATTCTAAATCTATGTGCTTTTTCATCAGACTTGAAAACCCTTTGCCATGAAGTTGAGGGATAAAGAAAAGTTATAAAGCTCCGCCTCAGTGCATGCTGGAAGTCAATTACAAAATTATCTAAGAGCCTTTTTTGGGGAAGAGATGGTATTTAAGAGCATTAGAATAAAAAAATTCATAGAATGACAAATTTCAAGAGCAATGTAGATGACATTTGATATTCAGTAAAGCACTTGTACATTATTTTCTTATCTGCACACTGAATGTAAGCACACATCTTTAAAAACATTCCCTCTTAGCTGAATCTTACTTAGCTGAATGTTTAGCTGCATCTCAAATATTAAACATATGGCAGAATTCCCTATGTACAGTGGCAATTATTTTAAAAAGTCTTTAATGAAGCCATGAGAAAACTGATGTGACCTACTTTCAGCAGGAAAAAACCCATATACATTTTTAAGGTTTTACAGGATGCTTGTAAGATTTTTCTTTCAGCTAATTATCATCATTTAAAATAGAATATAAAAATGCTCCCAGCCTTATATATTAACAGAAATATTCTAAGGTAAAATAAGAACACAGAGTTAAAACTGACAAGACTTTCATGAGCTTTTGTTGCTTTACTTGGCTCACATATAGAAAAATCTTTCTGTAGCAAAGCACTTTCCTTTAACGTTACTTAAAATTTTGACTGAAAGTAAAATTAGCCATCACTTTTCTTAAATTCAACATCATGTTTCATTCAGGATAAAGACTTAAAATTACCTAGTATTCATTTTGTGTGTTTGAAAACCTAAATAGGGGTCAAGAACCAAACTGGTTGCTAGGTCATCATTTTCACAGAGTTCCTTGGCAGACATTCCAGAAGATGGCACATATCGACTCTGTCCCTCGAATCCTGAATTACCATTACCTGTGAAAAGAAAAAGAAAAGGAAAAGTAACTCAAATTGAAAACTACTAAAATCTACCTTAAAATAACCTTTGCCCATTAAAGCTAGTAATAAAGAACTGAAATTATTTTAATCAACTTTAGTAACGGACAGTGGAGTACTAGTTGCATAAACAAAAACCGAAAAGCAGTAAACTAACCCATTACTGAGAGTATTTTGCTTAGCAGGTAGTACCCGGTTTCCCAAGAAGAGTCAGTGAGACTCTGGCTCCGATGGCCTTGCCCCTCCTTGCCCTTCCGAGGAAGAGGTGAGAAATGAGGAAGGCAGATGTTCATTAAGGAAGCAACAAGAGCCTTAAAGACCATTAAAGACAGGGCTGGGCTGAGAAGGAAACAGGAGGAGCACAAGATACTCTCTGCGGTGAGTGCCAGGAGGGGCAGACGTTAAGGACCGAAAGGAATCGTGAGGAGCTGACTCCATCTTCCTGTTTTTGGGCTGATGAGTGATTCCTGTCTCCACTTGGCTGGCAACAGGCGCAGGGGTATAGACACTTGCCTACGATTCCAGAGCCAAGCTGTAGAGGTGGGCAAAGAGAATTGATAGACCTATTTCTGACTGACCTGTCTTTAAAAAATTCTGAGTGATTGGATAAAAATAGGGAAGGTGACTAGTACTTGGGTTTAACTGTGGAAGAAAAACAATGTAATGAGAGAAGAAGGCCAAATCTGTACACATGAAGGTTCGTTAGTGCTGGTTTAAGTTTGGTGTCTATGTCATTGATGATCTCAGCAGCAGTCAGTGACACCAGCAGTACAACTTCGAGCCTCTCAAAACTGGCCAAAAAGTTCATTTGGTTTTTTCCGTACAAAGGCTCTACTAGCGCTTAGCTGTCTTTAACATTATTAGAAACAATTGTATTAGATTGTATTGTGACAGCTGTCTTATCAGTGTGCATTAAAAAAAAAAAAATCAAAATTGGTGACTTTTTGTACAACCATTTTAATGTTGAAGATGGAAGAAAGTCTGCAATATTTTCAGCATATTATGCTTTATATTTGAAGAAAGGTAAAAAAAATGCAACTGAAATGCAAAACAAGATTTGTGCAGTGTATGGAGAATGTGCTGTGACTGATCCAATGTGTCAAAAGTGGTTGTGAAGTTTCGTGCTGGAGATTTCTCATTGGATGATGCTCCATGGTCAGGTAGACCAGTTAAAGTTGATAGCAACCAAACAGACATTAACTGAGAACAATCACTGTTACAGCACATGGGAGATAGCCAACATACTCAAAATATCCAAATCAATATATCTGTGAAAATAAAAAACTGTGTCTTTTTTTAAAATGGACTTTTTGGCCAACCCAATAATGTGTGAAAGAATGAGAGACACAGTAAGAGGTTATTTAAAGAAAAAAAATTAAGTATCCATTGGGCACACAGGTATGTGAAAAGCTATCAAATCACTGTGTTTTCCTTAATGGCTTTATTGAACTATAATTCACATACTGTGTAATTCACCATTTCAAATGTACAACTCAAAGGTTTTTAAAAACATATTCACATAATTGTGTAATATCACCACAATCAATTTTGGAACATTTCATCAATCCCCGAAGAAACCCCACATCCATTAGCAGTCACTACCTATTTCTCCCTCCCAGCCCCTGGCAACCGCTAATCTAGTTTGTTTCCATGGATTTGCCTAGTTTGAAAATTTCACATAGATGGAATCATACAATATGTGGTCTTTGTGACTGGCTTCTTTCAATTAGCACGATGTTTTCAAGGTTCATCCATGTTGTTGCATACATCGGTACTTCATTCCTTAGTATGGCCAAATAATATTCCACTGTATGCATATACCACATCTGCTTATTCATTAGTTGATGGACATTTGGCCTGTTTCTACTTTTTTGCTATTATGAATAATGTTTCTATGAATATTCATGTAAAAGTTTTTGTGTGCACATATGTTTTCAATGCTCTTTGGTACATCCCTAGGAGTAGAATTACTAGGTGAGATGGTAACTCCATGCTTAATCTTTTCAGGAACTGCCAGACTATTCTTCAAAGTGGATCATTTTACGTTTCCAACAGCAGTCTATGAGGGTTTTAAGTTCTCCACATTGTCACCAATACTTGTTACTATCTGTACTTTTGATTTTATATATCCTAGTGGTTGTGAAGTGGTATCTTATGGTTTTAATTTGCATTTTCTCAATGACTAAGAGTCCTTTTTTCCTAGATTGTTTTATTCAATTTGGGTGCCTTAAATTTCCATAAGCATTTTCAGATGAGCTTGTGAATTCCTGCAAAGAAGTTCAGTTGAGATTTTGATAGGAAATGTGTCCAATATGAAGCTCATTTGGGGAGTACTGTCATCTTAACAATAGTAAATCTTCTAATCCATGAATAGATGATGTCTTTCTATTTATTTAGGTCTTTTTCAATTTCTCTCAATGTTTTGTAGTTTTCAGAAGATAAGTATTATACTTTTATTGCTAAATTTGTTACTATTTTTCTTTTTGATACCACTGTAAAGAAAATTGTTAGTTTCGATTTTGAATTGTTCATTGAAAGCATACAGAACTGCAACTGATTTTTGTATACTGATCTTGTATCCTGCAACCTTGCTGAACCTGATTAGTTCTAATAGTTTTTTAGTGGATTCCTTAGGATTTTATATATACACAATCATGTCATCTGCAAATAGAGACTGTTTTACCTTTTCCTTTACCTTTACTTTTTCCTTTTTGATCTAGATGCTTTTTCATTCATTTTCTTGCCTAACTGCTGTGGTTAGAACCTGTAGTACAACGGTGAATAGAAATGATGAGAATGGATTTTGTATCTTCCTCCTGATTTGGGGGAAGAACCATTTAGTATTTCACCATTAAATATGACATCAGCTGTGGGTTTTTCATAATGTCCTTTATCTTTCCTTCTATGCCTAGTTTGTTGAATTCCCCCCCCCGCCCCAAATGGGTATGAGACTTCTGTCAAACGCTTTTTCTCCATCTATTGGGATCACTGGATGGTTTTAGTTCTTCATTCTCTTGATATAGTGTATTAAAGGTGTTAAATCAACCTTGCATTCCTGGGATAAATCCCACTTTGTCATGCTGTAGAAACATTTTCATCTGTTGGGTGATATGGTTTGTAGTATTAGCAGGATAATACTGGCCTCATCGAATGAATAAGCAAGTGTTTCCTTCCATTTTCCTAGGAACCATCTATGAAAAACAGGTATTAATTCTTTTTTAAACATCTGCCAGTATTCACCCATGAAGCCATCTGGACCTGAGATTTTCTTGTAGATAGCGTTATTTTGCATTTCTTCTTGATTCAGTTTTGGTAGTTTGTTATTTTCTAGGAACTTTTTTGATTAAACTAAGTTATCTAATTTGTTGGTATACAGTTGTTCATAATATTGTTATAATCCTTTTTATTTTTGTGAGACAATAATAACATCCCCTCTTTCATTCTTGATTCTTCTCTTTTTCTTGGTCAGCTTTGCTTAAAGGTTTGCCAATTTTGTTGATCTTTTCAAAGAACCAGCTTTTAGTTTTGTTGATTATCTCTACCATCTTTCTAGTCCCAACTTTGTTAATTTCACTTCTTTATTTCCTCCCTTCTGCTTGCTTTTCTTTTTTTCTTGTTTCAGGTAAAAAGTTATTGATTGAGATCTTTCTTCTTTTTTTAATATAATTGTTCACAACTACAAATTTCCCTCTAGGCATTGCTTCAGCTACACTCCATTAATTTTAGTATGTGGTATCCTATTTTCAATCATTTAAAAGTATTTTCTCACTTCCCTTTTGATTTCTTCTTTAACCCATTGGTTACTTAGGAGTCTGTTGTTTAATTTCCACATATCTGTGAATTTCCCAAATTTCTATTATTCATTTCTAATTTTACACCATTTTTCTCAGAGAACATATAATGTATGATTTCAATCCTTTTAAATGTATTGAAGCTTGCTGTATTGCTTAGCCTATGGTCTATCCTAAAAATGCTCCATGTGCACTTGAAAAGAACGTATATACTGCTGTTGTTGGGAGGAGTGTTCTACAGGTCTGTTAGTAAGAACTGGTTTGTCTTCATTCCTCGCTCTACATACAGTATTGAAAGTAGGTTTTTAAAGTCTGTAAATAATTGTTGAATTCTCTACTTCTCTTAATCGTATTAGTTTTTGCTTCCTGTATTTTGTGGCTCTGATGTTAGGTGAAGTCACTGCAGTTTGTCTAAGAGGGAACATTGCTTTGCCTCTCTTCATCATTGGCTCTCATTCCGCACCAGTGACACTCAATGTGATGCTGTTCACCTCCATGCCCTCTGGGTCTTTCCAACCTATCCCTCTAAGTCTGCCTATACTTTCCAAAGTGTAGCTTATATGATTGTCATTTTCTAGATTCTAATGCACTTCCAACAATTAAACTAATGAGGGCCTTTTTGCACCATGATGTACAAAAGGAGGCCAATAACAATTTGCTTTTAAAAAAAAGTCTAAGCAAATGCCTAATTTACTGAACAGAGCAATACCACTGCTACAGTTGCTGCCTTTTTCAGTTCCATCAGGTTCATGTCACATGCTATGGGGTGAGGAGGTGCCCATGCGGACGAGGGTAGGTTCAGTCTTGGACGCTCCTCCACACGCTTATCCAAAGTGGGAATTTTTGCCTGTTTCTTTACAGAAACAGTGACCTGACCTGATATGGAAAGGTTAAGGGCAGTGTGAGCCCAATAAACTGCATAAACCTCTAAAAGGTAAGAATGAAATGGATCAACCTTCAGACTAGGGCAACCTATCTGAAACTACAGCATATCCCAAGCTAATCCAACCTACTAGGAGTAGGCCGGTTCCAACACAAACTAAAAGTATTCAGCAGTGGCTAGGTTAATCTTAGCAAAAGCAGAAATACCAATAGAAAAAGCTGTGCTCTTTTAACATGGCCTCATACTTTTGGACAATCTTTACATGGCTGTCTACTTAAGTTTAAATTTACCCTAGGGCAATATACTACTCTTTAAAGAACTATGAAACATGTATCAACTCTACAATTTCTCAGAAATCTCAACAAATAGTTTTGTTCTTACCAAAAGGTAGAGAGGCAAAAAAAGTAACTTAATATCAACGGTGCCTCACCCTACATAAATAGAAGAAGCAGTGACAATCTGTGAAGCTGGCCTAAATTGCACTTATCATGCAAATTAGAGTTGACCTTGTTATTCATATTACTGTAAGTTTTCAAAGACAAACATACTTATACTTACATCAAATATAAAAAATACAGCATGAACTTTTAAGAAATTCAGTTCAGTAGCAGTTATTTTAGTTTCTTTTGTTTTGTTTTTTACAGAACCGATTAACCATTTAGGTATAAATTCTACAAAATATAATTTAAAACCATGGATATAAAAGCATGAGTGAAGTTATTATATTAAGCATTAAACTGAAGTTGTACACAATGTTTGATGAGAATAAAAATTGATATAATTTTGAAAGAGTAAAAAAATCTATACTGTTAACTGTGAGAACATAAAAAAATTGTTTTGAAAACAACAGAGAACAGAACACATTACAAACTGGAAAGAATTACTGCCCCATATCACAATCAAAAGAGCGACAGTTTGAGTGTGTACATACATCTGCTTGACCTCCTCTCCACTGCGTTTTTGCCAGCCTTCACGGTGTCCTTTCCCGTGTGCTGTAATTTTGATTGATTCTGCTGATGGTCATTAGACAACTTGCCTCCATTTCTCCTGCCATTCACCACCATGTTCTTGGATTCTCCCAACCACTTCATACCCACAGACAGCCTGACCCAGGTGCATTTAGTCACTCTCTTCAAATAGCTTAGAGAATAATTTCAATGTTCTCTCCTAACAGAAACAAAATATGAAAAACAAAACAAAACGGGGAGGTCAATACATAAAAGACCATGCCACACAGACCCTTGAGAAAGATACAGAGTATTAAAAGTAATTTAGTAATCAATGTTTCCACTCTTCAGAGACTATCTTGGCTCCCCAGCCATCCCTATCATGCTGAAGAGGTCTACAATGCCCCCAGACCCTGAGGAGGGACTTTCTCATCGCAGGTGCTTTGAATAGAACCGGTAAACAGACAAGTGTTCAATAAATATTTATCCTTTAGTTATCAGTAAGAATCACCTTTGCTCTTTATTCTGTTATCTCTTGTCTACAATAGTTTGTCCCATCTTTTTGTCATTAAAGTCAACATTCAAGGTATTTAGGGGTATGTTATCAATGTCAAAGTACTGTCCATCGTAATATGTCTTTCTTAGTGTTCCTTTACAATGGCAACAAAAACTGAGAGACTACATTTGATAATATAGAGGTATCTTTCACTATATCAATTTTAATTAGCTGAACTTGGGAACTGAATGATTTGGACAGTGAGGGATTCCTGTAATTTACAAGGACCTTTGGAAATGATTGTTTGTTGGTAACGGAATAAGAAAAAGGATGTCCATGACATCAGCTCATTATAAAATTATGTTTTTAGTGTTAAGTCAAACTAAAAAGGCTCTAGGAAAACAACACTTTTGGAGCTAAAGGAACTTTAGGACCCTAGTACATTTGCAGATGGAACGGAGGCCAGAGAGGTATCATGACCAACTGCCACATAACCAGCCGACAGCAGAACTGTGAGGGCCCAGCACTCCTGCCCAAGGGTCTCTCAGGACACCAGACAAAGTCGATATCTCTTACTTTTTATAAACACACAGAAAAGTGCAAATGATAAATTATTTTGAAGAACTCCCAGAAAAATGTTAACTAGACATGTCTGTAATGATAACCAACACTAATATGAAACATTAATTTTCACTTGACTTCAGATCACTTTATGACAGGAATTTTGTGTGAATCCACAGCAGGATAAAATGTGTGAGTCACATGCTTAGGTAAAACTATATATAGATATAGATATAGATATAGATATAGATATAGATATGATCAATATTAAGGATACTTGTAGAATTATCCTTCAACATGTATTTTTCTCCTGGTTCCTTCACTATTTAAATTCAATTAGCATTCAACTTCCGTTGTGTCTATCTTCTGATTCTTCTTATAGGCTTCGCTAAATCCAGAAAACTACTGCTGCTTAAATAATAGGAAAGGGTGAGTGAAACTACTGGTACATCACTTAGAGGCTAAAGATCTTTCAATTATCACATCTTCTCAAATTAAATATGACTTCATAGTAATGATCAAATACCCTATATTTATATTTAGGAGAAAAAGCACAGAGCTAAAGAGCAGTATACTTCTGAAGCATAAAAGCAAAGAAAGCTCAGGGAAAAGGCCGTGTCCCATGACCCTCTTTCTCCTGTACCTAGAACCCAAATCCCCTCATGTTCCAGGAAGTCTTTCCTGATCCTCATTGACACCCCCCAACCCCTAAACCATAGGTGAAAGCCCTCATTTTTCTGTACAGTAATAACCTGCCTGCCTCTTTAAGGGACTGACAAGTCCTGAGGTCGAGAATTTATTTTTCTTTTCTCTAACCCTAGCATCTGGCATAGTACAAAGTAGATCAGAGGCACTCGACTGATGAAAGAGTAGTAAGGTTGTAGTTTAAACCACCTAACAGAAACTGCACTTCTGTTATATTCTTAAACTTCACATTAAACTTAAAACCTGACCTCTTCAAATCCTCTGCTCAAGATGCCGGTGCTGTTAAGAGCAGTGAGAGCAGCTCTTGTGCAGGCTCAGATGCAGAAACTGAGCCCCAGCCTCCCTCCCCTCTGCCTTATGCTTTCTGGCTCACTCCCTAGTTTTGCATCTCCACAAAGAAAGAACAAGGAGAGGTATAGTCCTTTTGGTCTTTGAGCAAGTCCATCTCAAGGATGCCCATATAAAACACAACTTACTGAGAATGAGTGGAGAATGTGTTTTTAGGACTCGTAGGAGTCCTCATCTTCCTCAACAATAATACATGAAAAGTAACTACATAAACTGGAAAAAAGCAAGGTGGCTTTAGAAAGAGTTAGGAGACATAAGAAAGAGCAAATCATCTCTCCATAGAAAATCCTTAAGTTCCAACCCAGATTCCTACTCAGAGACAAAAAAAAAACAGAAACCTGAAACAAGGCCCAGCAATCTGGTTTAATAAGCCCCCCAGGTGATTCTGATGCAAGATCCAGTGTGAGAACTACTGTTCTAAGTTACTTATTCATCCACTTCATCAGCTGCTGGGGCAAAGGACACATGCCAAAATTTTAAGAAAAATCATGGAAGAGCCCCTGCTGGGGGGCTGAGGTGATACATCGTTCCATACACCAAAAGGTTGTGGGTTCGATCCCTGTTTGGGGCACATACAGGAGGCAATTGTTTCTCTCTCACACGGATATTCCTCCTTCTCTAAAAATCAATAAACATATCCTTGGGTGAGGATCTAGAAATATTAATTCAAAATTATGGAACAAAAAATTTTAACTGGAGGAAATTGTACCTATCAACCTATTTCCCCCCCCTGAGAATTAGGAAAAGTTCACCAATAAATCATTCCAGTAGCATACTTCAGTTCAATTCATGGAACATAGATTGAGATCACTCTATTTTACACATAATTTCAACCAAATGTGGGTTTATGATCCAAACTGGAGTGAATTTGTAACCTCAGGTCTCATTTATATTGATACCACACCTCAGTGTGGTAGGTGCTCTGTCAATCACAGAACATGGCTCAATCTGACCAGTATGCATAGACTGCACGTGTCTGGATATCTTCTGGCAGAAGTTCCAAAACACTCTGCTCATCTGGGTAACGATAGCTCACTATAGAGGCAAAAGACTTAGGCTCATAAATGAGTACCTTCTGAAAGCGGCCCTAATGAAGTTATCAGAAATGTTGGGGCTATTTATAATTTTTCTTAGCTCAGTATGAGTATATACAATAACAACTGTAATAATGATCATGTCATCATTTGTTCTGTCCCATGAGCATGGAATCTGTTCCTGTTGGCATGGTCTTTCCTGTAAGATTACAAATGGGAAGAAAACTTACATATTAAAGGCAGAGATGGCATTTCAAAAGCTAACACAGTCCACACGGTGGTAAACTGTGGAGAAACAGGCTGAAGACATTGGGTGGCCAGCAAAGCCTAAAGACGTCTCGGCCCCCACAGTGGTCCCCTTCCCATAAGCGAGGGTGCGCCCCTCTGGCTTAGAACACAGCTGGCTCACTGGCAATGCCACCATGGTCTTGGCTTGGTTGACAGTACTAAGCTAATTGGCTACTGACTACATTTAGAAATAAAAATTACCTCAAATTTATCCCAAAATTGGCAGAAAAAAGAAATTTCAAGAAAGGAAGACTGACCACTCCTTAAATGGCACAACAGCTACAAATCCTTGTTTGTTCTGATCTCTTAAAAAATATCAGAAAAATTATTAACCATCTACTGTATTCCAGACACTGTTCTAGGTACTGAGGATACAGCAAAGAACAAAACAAGGTATCTGCCCTCATTTGTGCTTTTATTCTAATTAGGAAAGCTCTGTGAAATAGCAAATCCACAAATACATGCCAGCACCCTGAAGAAAACAAAGCCGTTTCCCAGTGGCAGGGAGAGTCTCAGGTGGTGCGGGGGCCTGCTGGGGAAAGCTGGGCGGCACGGGGAGTGCGAGACAGAGGGCACAGAAAAAGCAGACCAGCACAGGGCCAGTGCGGCGGGGGCCGCACAGGGTCAGAGAGGTGGCCAGGAGACACGGCATGTAACAAGAGTGCCCTGAGGCCTGCTGAGACTTGGGCACTGAACCTCAAGGAGACGCAAGGCAGAGGAGCGACAGGACCCAAGTTACAGTCTTAAAGGTCCACGCTAGCTGCTTGCTTTGTGGAGAAGAGCTCACAATTACTGCTTTTAGAAAAGAAGTTCTAATGAAGCTATTCAAATTTGAGGGGACAGGAGAGAAAGCTGTTAAGAGCCTACTGCAATAAACCAGAGGAGAGATACTGGGGGCTTGTAGCAGCAGAGGTGGTGACAAGTGATTGGTTTCAGGATCTTTTCTAAATGTTTGGCCGATATATGATTTGCTAATAGCTTGTGTGGAAGGAAGAGGACTCAAATATGCCTCCAAATGGAAGAATGGAATTAGTATTTACGAAGGTGACTAAGATTATAGGAAGATCAGATTTTGGCAGGGGTCAGAGTGCAGGAGTTTGTTTTTGGTCGCATTTGAGAAGCCCACTAGAGACCAAGCGGAGATGATCAGAAGCAGCTGGACACATGGGCCTGGAGTACAGGTCCAGGCTGGACAGATAAACTTGGAATCAGCACTAACGCTATTTCAAGCCCTGGGGTGAAATGAAATCACCAAGAGTGAGAGCCTAGATAAAAGACATCTAAGGACTGTGGGGGGACCCTGACATTTAAAGATCAAGATGACAAAACAGCAGCACAGGATAGTGAAAGGGGAACTAGTGAGGCAGGAGAAGCCAGAGCCAAGCAGAGACTAGTGCTTCAAGAGCGGAGCGACCAGCTAGGCACAGGCCACTGGGCTCAGAAGGCAAATCCCTCCTTTATGACAGTTGAAACTCACAGAGAGGATGGACCACTCATGATCTGTGAGCCTTTTCAGAAACAACAGAGAACGTCTAAAATGGGCATAATGTCTTGAAACATAGACTCATGGGAACAGACTTAGGTAACAGAGGGGAATATAAGGAATAGTGAATAAAAGAGTACTAAATTCTTATGTCATTTGTTTGAAATAAGAGAAAAAGAGTAGAAATTTCACATACCAGAAGAGATATATGTAAATTAAATTCAGAGGGTAGGAGAAGATGGTGATGCCTTGAGAGAGTTTATAAAAATCTTTTCTATAAAAAACTTTTTAAATGAACAGTCAAT